GATCTAGTAATGAGGCAGCTCTCAGATCGTGAAACTGAAAGTGACAAATTTCAGGAAGCTAGTGGTGATGACGGAGATGATGATGATTATGATGGCGAAAAGGACGAGGAATACGAGCACGGGGACAACATAGACAATTCTATGAAGGAAAATGATGGTTATGTTGACAGCAGGAGCCATGAAACGACTCTCACACTGCAGCAGCAAAAAGGATCACGCTATAGCAAAAGATTAGCTGGAATCACATCCTGCTGCAGAAACCAGGAGCCTGGGTTAAAAAATAGGTTGAGGCAAAGACCAACCAAGAATTCTGCCATTGATATTGTCATACCTGATTCGGATAATGAAACTTAGATTCAGCCTACTGATCATTCAAACGAAGGGTAAATTGCTTGGAACCAATATGCTGGTCACTTTGTAAGCAGTGTTCAATCTTGTGTTGGGAATACAGTTTTGAAAAGTATGTAAAATGCAAGTAAATGTAGTCACAGTGTTTTTATTTCTTGGAATGTGAGTTGAAGTTCGTTTCCTGCTGTTATTTCCATAAGTTAGTGTTACCATTTGAGAGAGAGAGACAGAGCAGAACAGAAAATCAGTTGCAACACCCTGAGAAGAAAAGAGAAGAGAGATGAAACAAAATAAGACATTGAAATGAATTTTTTTTCTTTCCTCCAGGTTCACCAACAATTTTTTGTCTCTCTGTTTGTTCTGACTCAAACCTAACAGCATCATATCCAAAGCTGTTCCCACAGGATGTTTTCTCTTGCTTCAACAGTGTCACTGAGCTGAGAAAGGTTGGGTTCTTTAGTAGAATAGTAAAAGAAAAAAATAGTTGTACTTTTATTTAATGCTAATATGATACTTACAATATTTTAAATCATAGAGACTGCTTTTCTATCATTAAATTTTATTTTTTGTGATATTTATTAATTTTTGTAATTATTAATTATGTTTATTATAGAACAAGATGGGATAGGTAAAACATAATGGTTAAATTGATTCATATTTTTTTCATCTAAAAGCTCCAAAAACTAAAGCTTTCAGTACTTTTAAAAACGATATAAATATTTATGATCTTTTAAATCTAATATATATTTTAAGCACATTTGTTCATATGTTTATTACGGAAAAATAGAATAGAAAAAATTTAATGGTCAAATGAATTTATTATTTTCTTATTAAAAATGAACAAATTATTCTAAAAGTCTTTAAATTAAAAAATAGTAAGTATTTAGTAGTCCCAAGAGATGATTTAGATATTTTATGACTTTAAAAGCTAAAAAATATTTACATATTCTAAAATAACTCATTACAAACACACAGTATTTACATGAAAAATAAATACACATTTCTTCTTCTTTTGTGTGGTGAACTTAAAGTTTGTGACATGAGAGTTATTATATTTGAAGTGACAGATTTCACGTAGTCAGGATGGCCGAGTGGTCTAAGGCGCCAGACTCAAGTTCTGGTTCTCGTGAGAGAGCGTGGGTTCAAATCCCACTTCTGACATTTTTTTTGTCCTAAAAACAACCGCGCTTCCTTTCTGCCACGTTCCCTAACGAACAGTTATTTTAGATTTCCTCTCTTCTTTATTTGTTTTTTATTTTTTTGGGTTGGGAAGGAAATATGGCAACGAGCAGTAGAGAAAGCAGGAGGAGGAAGATTGTGGATAGAGGATCCGACCGCTTTGCTCTGATCACTGGTCGGATCAAGAATCTCCCTTCTTCTTCTTCTTCTCCGTCTGAATTCCAGCATGATAGCTTTACGGACTCGTCTCCGCCCTCCGTTTCCCACGATCAGTATCTCCCAGATCAGACCACGGGTACCTATGATTATCCGTATCTGTTTCTTTTTTGGTTTCTTAGTTTTATGGTGGTTTACCCTGGAGTCATGCAAGTACTTTTTGGTCTGCCTTTTGCCGGTTTTGTTCTTCGTTGGCTTGTATTTAATGTATAATATATGTGGGGAAACTAAACTCAATTAGGGTTCTTGTGGCTTTAGCTATTTCTCTATAGAATATCCCAAACTTTTTTTTGTATACTTTAGTGATTTCGGCAGAAAGAGAAGACAGCCAAACATGTATACCATGTACCTCGATTCCTGTGATAATTCGTTTAAATTTTTTTTTTGTTATAATATGGGATATTCAGTTAACAATGATATTTGACTTTAGGTAATTGTGATATCTGAAAAAATGTAATCTCTGGTTTAGTTGTTGAAGTTTTATTGATAGGCATTATTGTTGGTTGGTGCCCTCTTATTGAAGGATAACACGTTTACGTTTCTTTGCATCTGTATTATTTGTGTTGCAATAGATAGAGAAGTGTCTATGATTGTTCGACTGAGCAGTTGGAAATTGGTGGTGTTAGCAGTCTTCTACAATCTGCAAGCATGAGTCCTAATAAATGGGTGCCTAGTGCTTGTTCTGTGCTCAATTGTACTCTTGGAATCCAGCAAGAATGATGAATATATATAATTTTTTAATAGCAGAACAATAAATAATCGGTAGATTCTAATCATCAGCTTATTTGCGGTCCTCTAAGATTACTCCCAAAAGAAAAGGAACACCATGAAAGAAAAAAGAAAACAAGAGAAATATGAGAACCCAACATGTCAACAAAACCTACTCCTTTGCTTTCTCCAGTAAGTTATGCAGGGCTTCCATAACGATAATGAACAACAAATGAGAAAGTGAGTCTTCTTGTCTCCCCTGGATGACTTGAAAAAGGAGGATGATCCCCCCATTCACCATCACAGCAAAAGAGGGCGTAGTAGCACACGTGAGCATCCACTTCCTCCATTTCTGTCCAAATCCAAGTCTATCCAACATATAGTTAACAAAATCTCAGCAAACATGGGTAGGCTTTTTCCATATTGAGCTTACACAAAATCCTTTCCAGCTTGTTACTTGCCATCTTGTCCACCACTTCAGTAGTCACCATAACAACGTTCAATATCTGTCTCCCTTCCACAAAACATGTTGACTCTTTCCAATAACATGACCGAAAACATTGGCCATTCTCTTAGCTGAAACTTTCGAGATCAACTTATGAATGCACCCTATCAAGCTGATAGGCCTACTCCTTCACATTTTTTGCTCCAATTTTTGTAAGTGTCAAAGTGCAGTTCAGTGATTTCACAAAATCTCTGCCTTATGAAATTCATTAAATACATCAATTAGGTGTTCTTTAACAATAGGCCAACAATCTTGAATAAATCTCATATTAAATCTGTCAGGCCCTGGAACTTTCTCTTCATTGCACTCCTTGAGACCCTCTAATAACTTATCTTCTGAAAACTCCTTCTTAATATCAATCTTGATGGCTTCATCTAATTTCTGGAACTGAATCCCATCAAGCTTCGGTCTTCTCTTGAACTCTTCTTCATATAACTTCTGATAGTACGTTTTTACCTCTTCTCTTAGTCTTTCAT